ATCGTTGGAGCCGCACGCAAGTGTGAGTAACGATCCAAGAGCGAGTCTTATCCGACATTATTCCGATGATATCCCGGACGTCAGTCTGAGCGAGATTAGAATGGCTCTCCAGCACCTTAAAAACGGCAAGGCCCCAGGCGAGGATGGAATTACAGCGGAGCTTCTGAAAGCGGGTGGAAAACCGGTACTTGAAGTCCTTCAGAAGCTCTTTAATTCCGTCCTCCATGGTGGCATTACACCGGAGGCGTGGAGCAGAAGTGCGGTGGTCTTGTTCTTCAAGAAAGGCGACAACGCTCTCTTGAAGAACTACAGACCGATTTCCCTTCTGAGCCGCGTCTACGTGCTGTTTTCGAGAGTCATTACGAATCGTCTCGCGCGCAGACTTGACGACTTCCAGCCTCCCGAACAAGCCGGTTTCCGAAAAGGCTTTAGCACCATAGACCACATACATACCCTTCGGCAAATTGTACAGAAGTCCAAGGAGTACAATTTGCCACTATGTCTGGCGTATGTGGACTATGAGAAAGCCTTTGATTCCGTCGAAATTTGGGCGGTGCTGCAGCGTCCTTTCAGCGATGCCAAGTTGACTGTCGGTATATCGAAGTGTTGAAGTGCTTGTACAGTAGGGCCACGATGGCTATCCGAGTACAGAACCAGAGTACGAAACCTATCCAATTGCAGAGAGGTGTAAGACAGGGTGACGTCATATCCACGAAACTCTTTACCGCTGCATTGGAAGATTTGTTCAAGCTTCTGGACTGGAAAGGATACGGTATCAACATCAATGGCGAGTACATCACTTACCTTCGATTTGCCGACGATATAGTCCTTATGGCAGAATCGCTGGAGGACCTAAGCACTATGCTCAATGACCTCAATAGTGTTTCCCAACGGATAGGTCTTAAGATGAACATGGACAAAACAAAGATCATGTTTAATGTCCATGTCACACCTATGCTGGTAGTTGTTGGGAACACTAAGCTCGAAGTTGTTGACGAGTATGTTTACCTGGGATAAATAGTCCGACTAGGTAAGTCCAACTTCGACCGAGAGGTCAATCGACGGATTCAACTCGGTTGGGCAGCGTTCGGGAAATTACGGCACATCTTCGGGAGACTGTACACCCAGTGCGTGTTGCCAGTGATGACATACGGAACTGAGACGTGGTCCTTCACTGCTGGCCGGATGAGGAAGCTCAAGGTCGCTCAGCGAGCTATGGAGAGGGCTATGCTCGGAGTTTCTCTGCGTGATAAACTCAGAAATGAGGATATCCGTAGTAGAACCAGAGTGACCGACATAGCCCAACGGATTAGTAAGCTGAAGTGGCAATGGGCCGGCCATATAACTCGAAGAACCGAGAACCGATGGGGAAGAAAGGTTCTCGAGTGTCAGCCTCGTACCGGCAGGCGAAGTGTAGGGCGTTCCCCCACTAGATGGAGTGACGACCTGGTAAGATATGCAGGAAATCGATGGATGCAGGTGGCTCAGGACTGTGCTATGTGGCATTCTTTGGGGGAGGCCTATGTTCAGCAGTGGACTTGTGAAGGGCTGTAATGATGATGATGATGAATGTCTTCCTGACCGAATTTCGGTTACAGCGACCGGTCTCATCGGAGACCAGCCATCTGTGCAGGACAGGCTTATAGTGCCCAAGTGTATGCGCAAGCACAGGTGCACTCTCTATTCCCTCACTCTTATGCTGCTGTCCGATGGGACGGCAAACTGACACGACAGGAGAGAGATCAGGCGCAGTACAGACATTACGTGCTTTTAGAGGAACGGGGTTGAAACACCATCACCCTCAACTTCCCGACTCCGGACTGAGAATTTCTTTACAGAAAAATTCATTAAGGATTGTTTTCTGGTCCGACCCGGGATTCGAACCCGAGACCGCATGATCAGCAGTCGCGTTCACGATCACTAGACCAACGAAGCATCATATTATTTAATAGCTAAGAGGCCGGTCCACAAATAGGCAGTTACGGTTTTAAAAATATTAAAGAACTGACTTCACTGAATGACACCACAAAAAATCTCACTTATTAGATGAGTCTTCACTTTCACCGCATGATATTTATAAAAAAATCTTAATAATTTAAACCAAAAAGCAATAACCTAAAAATAAATATCATTAATTTTTTACAAGAAATCATTCCCCGCTTTCCATATATTTTAGTATGAATAGATTAGGTTTCCGTAATTTGCTTCATATTAGAGAACACACGTGAAAAAAATTCACCTCAATATTCGAGGTGATTGCACATCCGTTCGTAGCCCGATTTGAAGTCGTGTCGATACATCTATTGTTTTAAAAAAGCATAAGGGTGGGTCGCGAGTGTCGGACACGACTGCTAAAATTATTTGTATTCTTCGAGTAAGTAGACTAACTAGGTATGGGAGTTTTATTATGTATTGTTTCTTTATAATTATCAGACATTAATCTACTTAATAAAATAGTGATTTATTTTAATATCCATTTCAGCTAGTAAATATGGGAAAACGCAAAGAAAGTAATTATAATAAAAAAAAAAAACAAAATAATATGAACCACTCGGAAACTCGCTAAGCAAGCAGTCTTGTTTTAGGACTCGACTCAACTGGTGCAGTGGGGATCTATGATCTGAACCTATATGGACCTTGAGTGAATTGTTGATCCGTGGGTTACCCTCTATGGGGTCAACACATTGTGATATCAATTCCATCCGTTTTACCATCCGATTACGATGACGTTTAGGTTATTTTAGTAATACCTTATGCCGAGGTTATTACTGCAGTAGTTAAAAGTTAGATTGATAACTAATATTTATAATATAGAAATTATCTAGTCAGTTAGCCTGTCTTCTAATGTTACGACTTTTCATTAGTGCCGACAAAATACAATATGTAACCATAACACAGTGGTTCCCGTTAAGTGCATTATCATAATCAGTATTCTAACGTATATAAAAAAAATTACTTCAGACAACTCAACATAAAAATAATCAAATCAAATTTAAATAGAATAATACTTGTAAATGGTATGTGGATTGATTACCTTTGCAATAACCTTCTAAAATACATAAACCTTAATTAATATAGGATTTTATTTTATTTTGATAAACAACCCTTATTTTTATATCTTTTCATGACAATTCAATTGTGACAAAATTTTATGTTTAATAAACTTTATATGTTTTTAAATAACTACTGAAAAAACACGGGCTCAAAATAAGTCAGTTGGTGTATATTAGACGATACTTTTGCGATCACTGGAAGTGCGTGTAAATTTTGGTATTTTCCTATACTAAAGTTCTAAGATGACGAGCGGGTAGCGGGTTTGAGTTTGACGAGCGCGCGAAACGCCGCTTATTTTATAATAATTTTATTTTGTTTATTATATTGTTTTAATATGGATCTATTTAAAGAATATAGAATATTAGATAGACCCTTTTTACTGGCAAAGAGGCATTCCATCTTAGTCCTCACGGGTGACAACGCATCTGCATCTTGAGTCTTTATTTAGGATAGATGTAGATGTCTATGGGTCACAGTAACCACTTACCATCAGGTGGACTGTGTGCTCGTTTTTCACCCGATCCTATAAAAAAAAATAGAATATTAGATATTTCTATTACATATTATTTATCGAATAAAGTTACACATGATAAATGCATAATATATTTCTCCTACAAATAGTTGCAGATTTGAAATAAATCACGACGTTTTATACTTAAAGCAACCTTTCTTTAAATATTTTTCCCAAATCTCTAATTAGTAATAACGTGATTTATAACATAAGTACTCAATAAGAATGTGTATTGGCGATGAAGGAATATTCACTACTCCAAATCATTCCGTGGGTGTGGTAAAAGGCAGATGGAAACCAGGAGATGGGTAACGGTATCTTCCTAACAACAACTAGATCCAAAGTAAAAAACTGCGGTTGCCAACCCGCCTGGCAAAAGTGGAAACTATGAAAAATACTACATACATACTAATGTTCAGTAGTTGACTTTGATAAATCGTAATGAATTAATGAACATTGTATATTTGATCTCAACATAATTTTAGAAACTATTAGAACTCGTCAAAACATCGTCACCTACGTAGCGGAACTAAGAATTTTTCTCATTGCGTGACATCGTAAAATGATTTTTGTAAAATAATTTATAGTAGAAAATAAATATGAACATATTAAATATTATTAGGTATTCAAGAAATATGGAATTGAATTTTTGGAAACTACCGACACATTATTAAAAATATTTTCATATTATTTCTATTATTTTTGAATTTAAAATTTCTGAGAATTACTATTATACTTCGCTTTTAGCAGTAATATTATAATAATATATAAATTTAGACGAAAAACGTCTTTATTGTATGATTCGCCATCTTGAAATATAATGTTGAGGAGACTATTCAAATACAAAACTTGGGGGTATGCGCGCCGCGCAGCGGCTCGCATTGTAAAATACTGTATCGACCGTATCAGAGCCCTCACAGTAGCCGTACATCGGCACGTGTCATTTAGTTCAGATGCAAATAACATTGTTAGAATTATTTAATTTCGTTAGTTACTTGATTAGATTTGTTCACAAATAAAAAAATAATAGTTAACATAATACCTAGAAAGCGTACACTCTGGCCCCACCCTTTGCCGTCAACTATTAATAACGGGCTCGCGGACTTTGCTATGTGACAAACAAATGACATAGAAGAAATTGCAAATGGCTACATACAATGCGTGTTTTTTGTGACATTCATGAACACACTTCGAAGACGAACGCGTGTCGAATATGTAACTTGTGCGAAGCACCAAAAGCAATTTATTCATGTCCTGGGTGTGTATACTAACACTGCGCGATGCGTCTGTGTGACTAGAAAATATCAATGTAGGTGTTCTATTAGAAGTTGCCACGCTCAAGGACTACAGTCGTAAAGGACAATTAATAATAATAAGGTATTTATTAAATTTATGTAATTTGTTAATTGTTTTATAATTTCCAGTAGCTTCGCGTTCATTTCTCGTGACTGGAGCGCGAGTCCGGGTCGGATACTGTGTCCCTTTGCTCGTGCATCTCCAACTCGAAGTCGTCCACAGCCATCGGAGTATCTGTAACAAATAATAAAGGTTATTTAATAATACTGTTTTTCACTTCTTATTTGATACTTTTTTTGATCGTATGCAGTTTTCAATTTAGAATAAATGAATGAATTTATTGTACACCTATAAATGAGAGAAAAAAAAACAACAAATTATATAAAGGCACAATTTGCGCTTAGAAGCAATCTCTATAAATTACAAATAAAACACACAATTTTTTTACTTTGTATGTTTACAAAGCCATTGTGCTGCATGTTGTACCGTGAATATTTTTTAAAATTTTCTACTTTCTGTATTAATTCTGTTTTAATAAAATTAAATCCACGCAGCCGAGTCGAACCGTTTTTAATAGACATTTTGAGGGAAAACATACCTCTCAAATTTTGACTGGACTGAAGTTACTGACAAAAAAGAGTTAAATGAAGGGACAAGAATTTTAATCATACTCATAAAGTGAGACTGACCAGAAGAAAATATAATTTAAAACCCTGGTTCACACCCCGGTGAGCCCCGGCTCATCAGATACATGAAACATACGAGTAAGGTTCCGCTTAAGGTCACCTCTACAAGATATCTAAACTTTTTTACTACCTCTTGTGTAAACGTAAACTAGAATTTGAATGTAGCTACTAAAGGAAAATAAGAACAACCCGCGGAAACTCTGGAGGTCAAACAATTTTTTTTTTAATTTTCGTAACAATGAAATAATGATTAAACTGAATTATTAGATATAAAATGCCCCGATAAAACACTTTATCCACTTGACATAAGTAATGATTATTTTACAAAGGTAAAATAAACGGAACAAATCAAACACTTAACAAAATTAATTAAACTTAATCACAGCTTCCAAGTAAAACCACCGGCGCGGCACCACTAGACAACCCTCTAGTACCTAACGTTAGTCACAGTCTTAATAGATTCCCTACCAAGTTTAATGGGGGGCGGCTGAAGTTTCCCACTAACAGTCATGGTAGTCGACTTTGAGGAGGAAAACTTCAGTCGATTCCTTAGCCTCCACTCCCGTACTAGGTCCAGAGAGACTCTGGCCCTGGATTCGATATCCGCTCTCGTTCTTTGAATTATTATTCTTTGAAGCTACACGTATTGCAGGGTGTAGTGCAACTTGTATAGATAATATTTTTACAGGTGTTGTACCAATCAACAAATCAATAATTCAAAAACTTAGTTCAGATCACTGTGGACAACTGGTTTCGTTACCTTATATGCACAAAAAATAGGTAATTGAGAAAATTGTGTTTGTTCCTATTAATGCAAAACGCCTGGAGAGATTGAGAAGTAATATGGTAAAAAACCTTCTATCCCTTTCTTATAAGAACAATGCAGACTATTTATATAGAGAATTATTTACCTTTATAAACAATGAATTTAATAAAACATTCACTTCTAAAACATTCTCCAGAAACAGTCGCAAGGCATTTAATGAGTGGGCGACAGTAGGAATTCATAAAAACAGACGAAGGTTATATGACCTTTACCATGAAAGATCGTATAATCTTTCCGATGCTTTTAATGAATATGTAAAAAATTATTCTAAAATGTTTAAAACAGTTTGCTCCACAGCCAAATTGTTACATATTAGTAACAAAATTAAGACGGCTAAGAATAAAATTAAAATGACGTGGAGTATAATTAACAGCGAAACCGGTAAAGAGAAACCTCGTAACTCAAACTATCAATTAAAAATTAATAATGAATTGACTAAATCAAATCAAGAAGTTGCAGCGGTGTTTGAGAAATATTTCACTGATGTTTCTATCTTGACAACAGAGTCATTGAATACTTCTCCAACTGTCGCCGAGTCATTACTTAAACAGAATGTTAATACCTGTTTAAAAGAATTTGGATTTGAGAAAGTATTACCGCATAATATTGTAAAATACTTCAAAACCATTGATGTAAAGAAAACCGCAGATTTGTGGGGGATTTCCGTTACAGTGATTGCGTCCATAATAGATTTAATTGAACCTCATCTTGCTATTATTTTTAATACTTGTATCGATTCTGGTGTGTTTCCTGATTTAATGAAGTATAGTAAAGTAATACCTTTATTTAAATCTGGTAGTACATTGGACCCCGGTAATTATAGACCTATTTCTGTACTACCAACTCTCAGTAAAATTTTTGAAAAAATAATTTTGGATCAGTTGTTAATTTTTTTTAATACAAATAAATTACTTCATAAAAATCAATATAGTTTTACAAGGGGTCGCTCGACGTCTGACGCCGGTGTTGAGCTTATGAAATATATTTTTAATGCCTGGGAGAATTCACAAGATGCCTTAGGTATTTTCTGTGACCTTTCCAAGGCTTTCGATTGTGTTGATCATGATACGTTAATCAGGAAACTACAACATTACGGTGTAAAAAATTTGGCGCTTAGACTTATTACTTCATATTTAAGTAACAGAACTCAAAAAGTCGTCATCAATGGTAAATGTTCCTCCGGATCGGTAGTATCAATGGGCGTTCCTCAGGGCTCGATTCTTAGCCCATTCCTGTTCTTAATCTATATTAATGACTTACCTTATCTTGTAGGGGACAATCACGATATAGTATTATTTGCTGACGATACATCTTTAATTTTCAAACTGAAACGGCAGTCAATTAAATATGACGATGTAAATAATGCTCTATCGAAACTAGTACATTGGTTTAACGCCAACAATTTGCTCTTAAACTGCAATAAGACAAAATGTATTAAATTTACAATACCTAATGTAAAACATTCGAAAACCAATGTGCTCTTAAATGGGGAGGAGTTGAGTCATGTGGATACCACTGATTTTCTCGGTATTACTATTGACGCGAAACTTCAATGGGGCCCCCATATATCTAAATTAGCAAGCAGACTTAGTTCTGCAGCATATGCTGTAAGAAAGATTAGAAGTCTCTCAGATGTTGAGACCGCTTCGTTAGTGTATTTTAGTTACTTTCATAGCGTAATGTCTTATGGAATTTTGCTATGGGGTAATGCGACTGATATTGAAGCTATATTTGTTTTGCAAAAGAGAGCCGTACGGGCGATTTATAATCTAAATTGTAAAGAGTCCCTCGGAGAAAAATTTAAAGAAATAAACATATTAACTTTGGCATCGCAATATATTTATGAAAATGTAATGTGTGTACATAAAAACATAAATAGCTTTAATAAGAATAAGGATTTTCATACCTTAAACACTAGGAACAAACATAAGTTTGTAATGCCAGTTACTAGACTCCACAGAATTAGTACGAGGGTGGATTGAAAAGTACTCGGCCTAACCAAGAAAATAAACACATACTAAATCAGTTATATTTTTATTTTTCTACATAATCACCATCAAGTTCAATACACATTTGCCACCTCCCCTTCCAAGCATTTAGACTGTTGAAAAAAAAAAGATTCTTCCTTAGAGTCAAAATATGCGTCTACAGCTGCTTTGACCTCGTCGTTTGTCGAAAATCTTTGACCTCCCAAGTGCTTTTTTAGGTTAGGGAACAGAAAGAAGTCTGATGGTGCCAGATCAGGTGAATACGGCGGATGCGGTAACAGTTCAAAGCCACAGTTGTGAATTTCAGCCATTGACTGTACTGACGTGTGAACACGGGCGTTATCTTGATGAAACAGGACTATTCTTCTGAGCATTCCTCGACGTTTTTCTTTTATTTCCTCTCGTAAACGACGTAGTAAGGTGCAGTAGTAATCAGAGTTTATATTCTGACCCCTTTCAAGATAATCAATCATAATCACACCTTTCGTGTCCCAGAATACTGAAGCCATCACCTTATTTGCCGACAAAATCGACTTAGCCTTTTTAGGGGGTGGTGAACCAGGTCTTCTCCACTGTTTTGATTGTTGTTTTGTTTCCGGTGTACAGTAATGAACCCATGTTTCGTCCATAGTAACAAAACGATTCAAAAAATCATCTGCATCGGCTTCAAATAACTCCAAACAGTCGCGTGAAATAGTCAATCGCGTCCTTTTTTGTTCAACTGAAAGCAGTCGCGGAACCCACCTCGCAGACACCTTGTGGAAACCCAACTCGTTGACAATGATGTTTTGAGTTCGTTCATAAGAGATGCCTATAATCTCGGCTATCTCTCTAATTTTTAATCTGCGGTCTCCCATTATTAAATCAAGTACTTTTTTAATATTTTCGTCAGTAGTTGACGTCGAAGGCCTTCCAGAGCGGGGTTCATCTTTCACACTCTCTCTATCACGCTTAAATTCTGCTATCCATTTTTTGACGGATGAATATGACAGAGCACAATCGCCTAATGTACTGACCATGTCATCATGGATGGCTTTTGATGATAGCCCCTTCTTATGGAGGTACTTAATGACGGCACGCTGCTCGATTTGCTCCATTCGCGGAAATTATGTCCGATTACTTTGTTAATAAATTTATAAAATCACAACTAATTATCGCACACGTTTCGAACTTCACACAATGAACTAGTCTGAACTGAACTAAATAATGTGGGTAGATTTGATTTTTAGAATTGAATGGATCTGTGTTAGGCCGAGTACTTTTCAATCCACCCTCGTAATTCATTTATGGGGCAATGTATACGCTTTTACAACAAAATCCCAGAACATGTTCAAAGTTTGTCAATAAACAAGTTTAAAAGTTTTATTAAAGAAAAACTGTACAAAAAGGGTTATTATAATATCAAGGAATACATGAAAGAAAATAACCCCTGGGAATAAGGTGATCGCCACCATGCTGGTTCTATGAAAATTCATTTAAAATTGTATAAACAAAATTATTGTTAAGTGAAATTATGTTTAAAAAAAAGTCCCGCTGGGTTTCTTGCTGGTTCTTCCCAGGACAGAGGTATTTTCCGAACCAGTGGTATATAAAATAATGACTTTCAATAAGTATTATGTAATAATCAATATTGAATAAAAATTATTCTATTCTATTCTTTTCCCGATTCTATCAAGATTGTAACGAATAGGCATACATCGGCAAAGGCAGTCATGGCTACTCCCTCGGGCAGAGGGAGTCGGAGCAGAACATCTTTCAGCACATTCCACAGTGTGGGCCCAGCACGGAGCCTTGAGGACATACCATGGTCGACCGACGTCTTCCACTGTACCCGGTCCCCGATGTAGAGGCCCACACGCCTGGAGGTGAAGTAGTCCACCAACATTTTATAACTGTTGGGTGGACATCTACCCCTTTTAGCTCCGACCATCATCATCGGCTACCAGGCATTGTCGAAGGCGCCGGAGATATCTAAGAAGATTTCTTGCACGTAGCATGCCTGAGAATACGCCTTGCCCTGCTAAGCAGTACACGCAGCGCTGTTACTGTAGACCGCCCTGGAGAAAATCCGTATTGGTAGTCGGATATCCAGCGGCTAATCTCGGGAGTGTATCTTAAAATTTCTCGTTTCAATAATTTACCCAAAACAGGGAGGAGCGTTATGGGACGGTATGCCATCGCGTCGGTGAGCGGCTTGTCATTACCCTTGGGATTGACAGTCACTCTTCCGTCCTTCCATACATTGGGGAAAACCCCACCCCTTCTTCCACACATTCCTCACGATTCTCGCACTCACTCCATAGAGTCCCGGAGCCGTGTTGGGCCAGGCCTTGACTATACCACCCAGGTTTTCAACCGCAAGTGGAGGTGTAGCTCCACCAGACGGCATGAAAGCCGCCAGCAGACGAACCTGCCGGTGGTAAGGCGAGTCGCAGTCAGTGCTGTCATACGGACAGAGCGCAGAAATTAATTTATGCATCGCTGCTTCCAGACTGGCCAGGCCTCCACCCGCAATGGCGATTCCATTGATCACATTTGAAGGTACCCTCCCATTGGCCAGCCTGTATGCAAGGCCCTATGGGTCCTCATTGCCAGAGTTGGTAATCATCACGTGGCTCGCGTGTCCCGCGCAGTGCACACGTACCGAGGTGGTCCAGCGTGACGCCGAGCGCGGCGCGCAGCGCGTGCAGCGGCGCCACGTGGCGCGGCGGCACGCGCGCCAGCATGCCGCGCAGCCAGGCGGCGAGCGTGGCGAGCGTGGCGCGCGTGGCTCGCGCAGTGCGCACGTACCGAGGTGGTCCAGCGTGACGCCGAGCGCGGCGCGCAGCGCGTGCAGCGGCGCCACGTGGCGCGGCGGCACGCGCGCCAGCATGCCGCGCAGCCAGGCGGCGAGCGTGGCGAGCGTGGCGCGCGTGGCTCGCGCAGTGCGCACGTACCGAGGTGGTCCAGCGTGACGCCGAGCGCGGCGCGCAGCGCGTGCAGCGGCGCCACGTGGCGCGGCGGCACGCGCGCCAGCATGCCGCGCAGCCAGGCGGCGAGCGTGGCGAGCGTGGCGCGCGTGGCTCGCGCAGTGCGCACGTACCGAGGTGGTCCAGCGTGACGCCGAGCGCGGCGCGCAGCGCGTGCAGCGGCGCCACGTGGCGCGGCGGCACGCGCGCCAGCATGCCGCGCAGCCAGGCGGCGAGCGTGGCGAGCGTGGCGCGCGTGGCTCGCGCAGTGCGCACGTACCGAGGTGGTCCAGCGTGACGCCGAGCGCGGCGCGCAGCGCGTGCAGCGGCGCCACGTGGCGCGGCGGCACGCGCGCCAGCATGCCGCGCAGCCAGGCGGCGAGCGTGGCGAGCGTGGCGCGCGTGGCTCGCGCAGTGCGCACGTACCGAGGTGGTCCAGCGTGACGCCGAGCGCGGCGGCACGCGCGCCAGCATGCCGCGCAGCCAGGCGGCGAGCGTGGCTCACGTGGCTCACGTGGCTCGCGCAGTGCGCACGTACCGAGGTGGTCCAGCGTGACGCCGAGCGCGGCGGCACGCGCGCCAGCATGCCGCGCAGCCAGGCGGCGAGCGTGGCTCACGTGGCTCACGTGGCTCGCGCAGTGCGCACGTACCGAGGTGGTCCAGCGTGACGCCGAGCGCGGCGCGCAGCGCGTGCAGCGGCGCCACGTGGCGCGGCGGCACGCGCGCCAGCATGCCGCGCAGCCAGGCGGCGAGCGCGCGCGCCGTCTCGCGCTCCGAGCCGCTCGCACGCGCGCACAGCGACAGGTGCCACGGCGGCGGCGCCGACAGTCTGCAACGCGCACCGACCACATGAGTATACACACACACATAAAAACATAACGTTACGCCTGTAATTCCAGAGGGAATAAGCAGAGTCGTCTTACGTCCAATCGGTATAAGTGAGCGGTCGTGTTAAGTTAAACACAGATTTTAATATGACCATAAAAGAATAATGATCCATTGTTGCTCCCTTGGTCTATAGAGCAACACGGGCCACCGGCAGACCGGATAAAATAAGCAAAGCTCTGGCAAAGTTCAAGTCCACGCGGTTCAATAAAATGTGTACAATGTAACTAGTTACAGCCGCACTGACCACTAAACTGAATCTAATTGCGCAGCTGAACCGACGTCCTACAAAAATACCGAATTGTACAGTTTTTCTGCTTCAAAAAAGATATCCTACGTCAAAAGCGATGTGCCGGCATAAAATATGCTGTCGTTCGTAATGTAACAAAAATTATATTATAGTTACATTTATTTCAAAAATATCAGATGTTGCGGTCTCCGAAGATCATAAAATTTATAATCGTATTCAGTTTTAGCATGTTTTAGGGTAAAACGGATAACATTACACTTGTCTGCATTTAATTGAAAAGTTTATTTGAGCTGTAATAATTTGCAAAATAATCTTAATCCGACAGTAATTTTCACGAGAGACAATTACTTTGAATATTTTAGTCATTAGCGTATAATAGGTGATGATAATTGTTGAAACAATTAAACAAACGCGATCAGTGTCGTTAACATAATATAATGTAAAAAGAAACAGACCTAGGTGCGTGCCCTAGGGTACGCTCTCTGAAACCTTTCTTTTGAGACACTGATTGACTTGTGTTACTATTGAATGATTTAATCCACCTAAGAAGATTCCGTGTATATTAAAATTTTTCAGCTTTGATATTTGGTTAATTTTTTGTCGAATGCTTTGGAAAACTCTGTATACACGACATCAGCCTGATAGCCAGCATATAAAATAAAATATGTCACCCCTAGCGAAACTATGTTTATGTTCTGACATGTTGCTACAAATTGTTTCATTTAAAACAGATGAAACGATTTTTTTCTAAAAATTTTCAAGAACACAATGCTTAGATATTATAGCCCTGTTTAGGCCAAATCGTAACAACTTAAAACTTGCAAAAACGCTCGTCTCGGGCGATAAACCTGTTTGACGACTTGGGCCGGCGGGCATTCGTTTTTGCACGCAAGAGCCGTGTGAACAGTCTGGAACAATCAATCGTCCGCGACGGCCGTGTCGGTTATAGGTCGGGAAGTTATGTTAGAATCGTTAGGTCGCGTTAAGACCGCCTCCTTTGCGTTGTCTTATTTCGTTCGTATACGTGACAACGAGGCTTTCCTTGAGTTTTGAGTGATTAATTTAACTTCGATTGCCATGAATTTGCGTCGACGAGTTGCTTGTGTGGTATTTTAATATCGTACGAAGGAATTTTTTCTTTTTGTCGGGTGGGACGCTAAAACTTTGTGACCCGAGAGGAGATCGCGTTACTCTTCGATTATAGTTTCGTGCTAAGTGACGTTAGACTTGAGTTCAGATAACGATGAAAGCCCACTGGAGTGATTGACCATTGTGCAACAGAGCAGCGCATGTAGGTCTGCTGGCCGATTACATCGGTGACGTCAGGTTACATTACATACCTTCTTACACCACTCACACCTACCATTTACTTGCCCCTGACGGTACCTTGTGGTCGACCCTACCTCCGGAACTCGGTAAGTTTGTGTTTGTTTATCCAGCCATTATATAATAATTATCCATAGGCCAATTGGGCCCGAACCCTCTGGTTGCCCGTCGAGTGGATCACTCATGGGCCCTGGTCCAGTCGACCTTTGTCGGGGCAACTGAGGGCCGTAACAAGTCCTGTACTAGGTAATATCATTTTACTCCCACTTTAAAACCTCTTAATCTTATACCTAAATATACTATAAATTTTAAGAATGTTATCCTATATTACCTTTCCCGTTGCTCCTTCTCCAACTTAACGATGAGATCGTATGTGTGCTTGAGAGGGACGCTGATGCCGTAGTCGTGTTGCGAAGCCACGATTTCGTCCTCGATGTCGTTGAGAAAGTCCATATCGATTCCCAGCTCTGAGAGCGTGCGGAGTTGATCAATGTCCACCTTTACCTTTGACAGGTCCTAGAAATCAAATTTTCGTATTGTCAAAATGTTGGTACAGAATTGAAATAAAGGATGTTGTTGTAAAAGATTCCTAGCTAGTGATTTTTATGTAGAATTATCTTTCGAAAATAATTAAAAATATACGAAATTGTATTGAGTGCAATTCTAAGCAAAATCTAACCTCACCAAATGAGCTAAAGGTCACACCAATTTATTTTCGATAATAAATCACAGAATAATGGAATTGATTTCTAATATAATAATTATAATAGCTCTCTTACAGTAACAGTAACACTCTAGTAAGCGTATTGCTAATTTGCTATAGAATAATTTAAAATTAAAAAATATGTACCACTGACTTACAAAATAAATTATTGAGGATAACTCAAAAACTATTGGTCAGACCTTGATCAAATTTATATGGGATCACGTGAGAACCACCAGCTTTCAAATAAAAAAAAAAGAATTATCCAAATTGTTTCACTGTGAAAAAAATTATGAGGTAATACACATAAGAAGGAGTCATACAGTCGAATGGAGTACCTCCTTTTTGAAGTCGGTAGAAAAGGCAAGAAAAGCTACCTTCTGTCCAGTGAATACTGAATAATGAATGGTTATGAATAGTGAATGGTTATTTAAGTTAAATAATTATCTGGCTCGAAGGACCAACAACTTTAATTACACATACGTTTTCCTCCGGAGGTGGACTCGGCTCGGGCTGATTCTTGCGGTCCGGAAACATAGCTTCCATGTCATAAATCAACGCCCATGGCGAATCCGGCGCAAAACGTAACATCTCTTCGTTACCTTGGCCCATTTCGTATGCTGGATAAAAACACACACACTTTAATGTTAAATACTCATACATTCATTAATTACAGCCTATCAAAAGTCCACAGCTGAACATAGGCCTCCCACAAAGATTGCATCATAAGAAGAACGTTTGCCCTTCTTGCCACGCTTAGCATGTTAGTTGGCAAGCACAATTTTTTATTTTAACTTGATATCAGGAAAATGAAAATGCTGCTGTCAATGTCCCGTTTAATCTCCCTCTATCGCCTCTTGCGACTCCTACGGGATGATATGGGGTAGTGAATTCACTTATGCCGCCATTAAACGGCAATAGTCAATATATCATTAAGTTATTTCAAAAATCAAAGAAAACTTACGTAGAGTATGGTATATAAGATGTGATTCCTCTTTTGTCAGCGTAGCGAAGGTCCCGTCGTAGGAAGGTGCGTATGAACTGAACGGCCCGTAATTTAACGGTTTCACGCACTTAGCAAGATTGCGACGATCTTCTCGAGGCGCTGCAAATTAACCATTCAATATATTTTACGAGGTAGAGCTGCAGCTGGTTGCAGCACCAATGGATCGGATTGACCAGGAAACAATCACTGTCTCGCTGAATACCAGCGTAAAATAGCCGCATGATAATACTGAGTTACATACGGTGACTGTGAAAACCGGAGACCCTTGTTACCACAACAAGACCCATTGCTACATGAATGTCAAATTACTCGCTGGGTGGATTTGAGCATCTGGTATTAGCTTGTGGGTGTTACGAAAATTAAAAAGTTGTAGCTTATATACGTCCCACTGTTGGGCACAGGCTTCCTTTCAATTCTGAGAGGGTTTTAGGACAAAAAAATGTTCGCCGCGCTGCCACATAGACGCCCATTACACGTCTAGGCAAGCGTCACTCAATTCAATCAATCATGATTGATGTTTGAATGATAGAATAATTTCGACATTACACGCTTATTCTGACTGATCGTCAGTCAAACCCAAAATTTCAAAGGGGAAGGAGGGATATTCATGAGAAAAGGCATGTGCTGCAATTTTCATTGCAATTTTGTGTAAAAAAACGTAGAAATAGAAGGCGCTAGGTAAAAGACTGGCTTTTAAAAAGGGATTTCTATATACCCATTATCATCATCATCATCTTATTTATTTATTTTATTTACTTATTTAAAAACTTTATTGTTCTAACTTTATTGTTAAAAAGGTTACAAAGGGCGGACTTAATGCCAGTTAGCATTATCTGCCAGTCAACCCATGGCGTGGTGAGAAATTAGTGGCAGGTAATTTAAGTAACTAAATATAGTAAATATAATGCATAAGAATACAAACAAATACATAATAATACATATATAACAATTATCCTTAATACATATATACATATACACATACAAAAATACATATACACACATAAATACATATATACATACATACATACATAATATGTCTGCATAAAGGTAGCAGTATTGGTATTATGCTGACGACATTGTTTTTAAGAGATGTTCCCGGACCAATCTTTTGAAGGTTACCTTGTTTGGTGCTTTCCTAACGTCTTCAGGTAAGGAGTTCCAGAGTAGTGTAGCCTGATCAGTAAAATAATTGCCGATAAAGCCACTAAAATGGAGTGAAACTGAAATCTTCAGATTACTTGAAGACTTACTGACTGACATACGGGTTTCAAAAGAGGATTAAGCAAAAGCTATTGTGTAAGAGGTTTTGCTGTCAGTTTTACAACAATCACGGTTGTGATTGACGAATAACCTACCGTGTAATGCGGTGATTGACGGTTGCATGAAATTGATTGACAAATATCTGGATATTTTGATTTTTACGTCAAACAATCAGCCACGAATTTTGATTGAACGTGTAATGGCATTTCGTCAATCACGCGTCAGTCAACGCTTAGACAGCAATGGAGGCGGACGCAGAATATATTGAAGAAGCGGCTTCCATGCGCTCGCGCAGCCCGTCGCCACTTCCGCCAAACGTGCTTAAGCCAGAAAAAGATTTTGTTTTAAATTTTTTTGAGGCTCTTCCCGAGTTTAGGGACACGCAAAACCCCGGGTATACGAATAAATATAAAAAGTAAGCTTATTTTTCAAATAAACACGCGTATCTATTATGCGATCCAAGAGGCGCGCGTTCCAGCCGCGCCATAAATTAAAATAGGTAAAATGATATGTATGTCTCTGTACATAAAATAGATAATAATAATATTACAATTACTACAATTTTTCCTATCCGTTTCTGTTCTTTTTCTTCTCAAGATATAAAATTACAGTTAAATGGTGAATCGAAAATGAGCTTAGTTTATAGGTAGGTATGTGTATTATTTATCAAACATCGCTACCAAAAGTAAAGGTAAGATTTTTTAGACATGGTGTTACCAAGACCACTAACTTGTCAAAACAAGTCTCTTTCATGCGAAAATAATTTGTATAGTCTTTATCCTCTTTTGAAACCCGTATGTCAGTCAATAAGTTAATATGGGTATAGATCCCTTTTTAAAAGCCAGTACTTTACCCAACGCCTTCTTTTTATACATTTTTTACACAAAATTGCAATAAAAATTGAAGCACAGGCCTTTTTCTCATGAATATCCATCCTTTCCCTCTGAAATTTTGGGTTTGACTGACATCAGTCAGCATGAGCGTGTAATGTGGACATTATTCCATCATTCAAACATCAATCATGATTGATCGAACTGATGGACGCTTGCCTAGTAATAGCTTAATAGCTAGCTTGCGTGTAATGGGCGTCATAGAGGATTGTGAGATTTGGCATAGTTAAAGTTTACATGGAAAAGGAGTGCAAGAAGCAAAAATTTATATATATTATGTGTTAAAATACATACATTAAATTAAATAAAACGTAAATTGTTTATGTTCATACTGCCGATGTCTCAGAGTAAGCACAAGGTTATATACTTTATTACTTAATAGTTTGTGCGACTGTTTGCACAAAGTAGAGACTGTCGCCAAAGAATTGTAAAATGTTACCAACACATAATTACTGACAGATTTTAAATGTGTTGTGCGTGGAGTATATGTCAATGCAAATAAGCGTTTATTTTATATATTGCATATTAGATACCTGAGTTTTATATTAATGTGCAGTTGAAAGTAAAATACAGCTTGATCAATATACAAACTTAAAAATTTAATTAATTACTATCGAATTTCGGCCACTAAGCAAGCAGTAGTAATGATAATTACATCAGTAGAACGAATAGATATCGTTATATCTATTGACGTTTCATTGCTGGAAAAGACTGTTAAAAAGAAAACTCGGACTTACTGTGCAATGTTCCCGTGCCTTGCGTGAGTTTCCCAATGTACCTGCCCAGAGTCAGTGGTTTGTCCTCGCCGTTGCCGTCCACTGTGTTAGTGACCAGGCATAGAGTCGTTTTGCCCTCAGCATCCATACGAGGAAAAGCTGTAAAACATCGAAATATATATATATATATATATATATATATATATATATATATATATATATATATTTTCATTCATTCATCTATCAATTATTATGATTATTGGCTACTGCGTTCCAAGGACATCTGCAGCTAACTTCAAACAAATAAAGCTACAGATGCGTTGACACCTCTGAGGACTAAGATGGAATGCCTCAGTGTGTAATTATACGATACCGATTTTTATACCATTCAAACAGAACAACAGTGCTCGCAGTCATGCTTAATCTGTCAAGTCCCACCGGTCCACATCGGTCTCCGGTCCACGTCAGTCTCCCCCGTGATAATTTGTAGACGTTTTAATTTGTAGACCCCGCCAAAGAGTATAGTAATATTTAGAAGGGACACCTCAGAACCAAAGAGTATATAATCACTACGTTTACTCAGAAAAAGAGATAAGAATGCTCAGAACAATACTTTTTCATAATTATTTATAAGAATTATACAACAAAAATTCTAAATTTTATGTAGAATTTTAGTTGAATTAGTTTCGTTTTTATTAAATTTTATTAGAATTAGTTTCGTTCAAAAAAGTTATTATATTGTATTAAATTCGTTACTAAATTACGCTACTCTAAATTAAGAGAATGTACTTTAAATGACTAGTTTGCGCCTTTACCCTCACGTTTACTTCATATATTTAAGTCTGTGCAAGCGTGTGTGTGTGATGTGCCTGTGTGAAGTGCAAGAGGCAACTTCAATTTTAAAAAATTAAGTAGGTACAAAAGAAAATTTGTTGACTAGTTTTTTATATAAAAGGTAAATAATTACACTGTTTTTAAAAGTCATTTGCTTATATTTTGTCTCGTAACAATTTTATACATTTCGTTCACGTATGAAATAAAGTAGTCAGAAAGAACTAAAAATGAAATATAAAGTGTGTAATCACTATAAATCATGTAAAAAAAAATTCATATTCCACAAAGTCCAATGTGCGAAAATTACGTTTTATATTATAATTTTGATATATCGTGAATATTATGGCGAAGTTGTTTTCAATAAAAATGGCGTTGGTCAAAGATAGCGTAAAAAAGTATAAACCTATGATTGAATTTTTATTTATTTACGCAAATATCCTTCACCTCAGCAACGCTGCCTTAAACATGGTGCACCCGCGTTCCGCTGAGATAAAATAAAAAAAATTGTTCAGTCTTTTTTTCCTCCTACTATTACATTTGTCTTATTACTATTACAACAAACACCTGGGCCTTTCCCATATATTGCCTCATAGGACTATGCCTATGTAACAAGGTACGTGTAACGGGTACTAGAACGGTACACCGACTAGGTATGACGCGATCTGAAATCGATTAATAGATTTATTGTTCCAAAAATATTGATTTTAAATCGATATTTTACCCTAGAAATCGAGATTCGATTTTTCTGTTTTGATAAGAACCATAAAATTATTTACAATTAGCTGAGTGTACCACCCTCACCTTCGATTTGCCGACGATATAGTCCTTATGGCAGAATCGCTGGAGGACCTAAGCACTATGCTCAATGACCTCAATAGTGTTTCCCAACGGATAGGTCTTAAGATGAACATGGACAAAACAAAGATCATGTTTAATGTCCATGTCACACCTATGCCGGTAGTTGTTGGGAACACTGGGCTCGAAGTTGTTGACGAGTATGTTTACCTGGGACAAATAGTCCGACTAGGTAAGTCCAACTTCGACCGAGAGGTCAATCGACGGATTCAACTCGGTTGGGCAGCGTTCGGGAAATTACGGCACATCTTCTCGTCAGGTATACCTCAAAACTTGAAAACGAGACTGTACACCCAGTGCGTGTTGCCAGTGATGACATACGGAACTGAGACGTGGTCCTTCACTGCTGGCCGGATGAGGAAGCTCAAGGTCGCTCAGCGAGCTATGGAGAGGGCTATGCTCGGAGTTTCTCTGCGTGATAAACTCAGAAATGAGGATATCCGCAGTAGAACTAGCGTGACCGACATAGCCCAACGGATTAGTAAGCTGAAGTGGCAATGGGCCGGCCATATAGCTCGAAGAACCGACAACCGATGGGGAAGAAAGGTTCTCGAGTGGCAGCCTCGTACCGGCAGGCGAAGTGTAGGGCCACTAGATGGAGTGACGACCTGGTAAGATATGCAGGAAGTCGATGGATGCAGGTGGCTCAGGACCGTGCTTTGTGGCATTCTTTGGGGGAGGCCTATGTTCAGCAGTGGACTTGTGAAGGGCTGTAATGATGATGATGATGAGCTGAGTGTACGTAAACACGTAAAAAAAAATACAGTTTTTCACTTCATTATTTGAAAACTCGCGAAATGACTGTGTGCTCAGTTTCTTTCACCTCTTTTTAATGGATTAATGAATAAAAAAAGTTACGTTTCTTATTGCTTTGTTGTATTTTGTTGATAGTGTAAATACAAACTCGAAAAGTAAATCAAAGAAGATCAATTTTAATCGATCTTTTAAATCTCGATTTATTTGAAAACCGATCTTTATTAGAAAAACCGCCATCCCAACCGACTAATCGGCTAGGTTAGGTCAAATTCGTATAATTGAAAAATAATAGTAAGGAAGGAAATAAAAAATCGATTATAGAAATAAAACTTAATACTGAGCCGTGGTAGCTCAGGTGGTTAGCGCTCGTTGTAAATTTTAAAGTACGCGAGCAACCAGGGTTCCATCCCCGAAATTGTTATTTTACTATATTACGAATAATATATTACCAATGAAATTGTTAATTGCAATTTTAAGTGCTGATTTACTACTTGCTAGGCAGTGAAGGAAAACATCGTAAATAAACCTGCCTGTTTGAGAAATAAGAAATAAAATATTTCGAAGACACGTGAAGTTCGTCAACACGCATTGGGGCAGCGCGGTGGACATTTCCTTGCTTTAAAACCTTCTCAGAAATGAGACGAGGCCTGTGTTCAGCAGTGGGATGTATAATAAGCCGTAACTTTAACTTTTAATTAAATCTAAAATTCATATATAAAGTCATGTTATAAGTCGTTCCAATGTTAGAATGGTAGTTATCTAACGTGACAAAGTCACGATGATTTTTCACTGGACTTTTTCGTAACCGGAACGATGTTCGCGGTAATTCAAAAATAACCTTTTTTCCAAAGTCTCTTACGGCATCCACGAGATGATATGGATATTCATGCACCGCCACTACGAGGTAATTAATAATTTCTGAAAACATTTTATTCATCGACAACGTCTTGCAATCGTCGTTTCTCTAGCGCTCACTTGACCTTCATACAAATAATTCAATATTTTAATTGTTGATATTTTTTTATTTTAAGATAAAACAGTAAAATTAATTGGCTAAATGACTCTACGTTATTTTTACATTTATTGAGCGCGCGTACGTGTGTGCGTGCGGGCGTGCGTGTTTGTGTGTTTGTGTGTGTGTGTGTGTGTGTGTGTGTGTGTGTGTGTGTGTGTGTGTGTGTGTGCGTGTGCGTGTGTGTGTGTGTGTGTGTTTCTGTCTTTTCTTACCTTTCTTAGCGAGTCTACGTCGATGTTGTTCCCGCGCAGCCTCCATTTGTATCTTGACGCTGTCGCCAGAGTCCTGCCTCTCGTTGCCGCTGTCCGACACCACTTCCGCTTCCGACCCACCGCTTTTGATTGGACTGCTTCGCTTCAGCACCTTATGCTATTGACATATGTGACAAATTAAAATGCGATTCTCACTTGAAACATTACAAGTGTCTACTGGGACATTCGAGCGACAAATGGTATCACTAACGTCATTTACTAAATAAAAAAATAAATATTAAGCTTTTAAAGTTCATTTATAAACAATAATAAGTCCAAAGATTATGAAATTTCATATAGATAATGTTACAAACAAGACAACCTACCTTTTGATATTGAAAATTTTGTGTAAAAACTCTTCTGTAACATAAACTATTAAATAAAATTGATACCGATTTGTTTCAAGAATCTCACAGAAGCACCAATCACGATCAAGCTCGCTCCAAGCCGAGTGCAAGCTTGCTTGATTGCGTGACGCCTAAACGTCAATCAAAAATAATCCTTATTCATGCTTGCCCAGAGTCTATTCTGTTTAGTACATGGCGTGTGGCGTGTGGTACGATAGCAGTCAGGTCCGACCGAAAAGTTCATGCAACATTGACGTATTGTTAAGTGATCCAGGTGACCGTGTGGTTGCTGTACTGCAGTGGATATCGTACGACAAACCCTCTTTACATGCAAGTATGCACAACGGGATACGCGAGACTTTCTACGGACGCTTTATGCAAGCCCGAGCAGTTTTTTTATTGACTCAGCGGTATTATACGTCACAATATTTTTACAAACGGCCGAAAAACTGGCCAGTAATAAACACCCAAAAATAGTTTTTTTTAATATATATTAATACGAAATATTTTTTTATTTTTTTTTAAATGAGATATGAATTTGGCGCTGAAGTCGATTTAACGCGAAATTTATCCTGAAAAGAAGTATAAAAAATTAAATTTAAAAAAAATCATTTTTATCGTTACTCTTTAAAGCAAAGGCGAAGAAGAGTTTTAGTTATTACGGTTCATGCAGAAAATAGCAGTGAGAAATCTAACTATCGTCCTCGGGCTCACATAGACGACCGACACCACAACACAACAACACGCGCACCGTAAGAAGCAAACCAAACTCGCTAAACTGCTAGGTGCAAATCACTACTTAATAAATCATTATTGCAAACCTTTCGGCCGTAAGTCCTAAGTGGCTGCATTGCAAAAACGGTAACTCGTCAACAAGTCTCACAATCCGATGCACCGTAAACTCATAACGCAAACGTATGGTATCACAAAGTGTCGATAAGTTCAAACGAGATTAGTTTTTATGTGCGAAACATTTGAAGGGTAATAATGAAATCTTGATTCCTTATATTTACGCCTATACTATACATTGAATAAAATTAATTTTACCCACGGGTCTGAGACAATGAGTGCTGTAAGAGCATCAGAAACGTCAGAAATTAAAAATAAGGTAAGAACAAACGCGATAAGATCAGTAAAATAAGTTTTATTCAATCGACCTATCTTACCGACACTAAGTGGTAGATGATTATTCTTTAGTTAAATCCCAAACAATTGGCTACGAATCCGTGTTTTTACTATTATTTTTGTATAAAGTTAAAATCAATAAAATGTGTATATTTGTTTAACTACATAACCAAGGTAATTATGTAGTATATAATAAAAGAAAGTGAAGGTCCTAGTAAAAACATATTTTGATTAACACAATGATGCGACATTTATTATACATTTTTATTTCTACCATTTGATGTTGAGCACATTTTAATGATCTTCAAAAAGATTATTACAGTTTTGTATTTTTTGTGCAGGTATTGTAAGTAAATATTTATGAAAAATATTTTCTAATTAACACATATTTCATACAAAACATATACATACATACATAGTTTTCTATGAGTTTGTGAGTATTAAAATTAGTATTTTAATAAACGAAACATTTATTTAGCTTTATTGGAATAAGATAGGTTGGACTGAAAATAAAATGATTGAGGAAGTTTAGATATTGAAAAACAAAAGACGTAAAAATATATTTTATAAATGTTGAAGGTTTTCAGTTGCAACCGTGGAAACCTGATATACTTGTTATGACATGATAATTTAATGAAAAATATTACACAAGAAAAAATAAAAAGGAGAAGAAAAAGAGAAAAGCCGACAATATAACAAATTCAATAAATAAAAGCAAAAATATATTTTCGTATTAACGTACTAAGTAATATGGAGTGTTGCGTACATTTCAAGAGATGCCAAAACCATGCTCAACTTGGCACTCACACACATACATCTTTCTTTTTCCTTTCTTTTAACAATGTGCAAAATTTCAATGCTCTTTTGTAACAATAAGCTAAGCCAGTGCTTGACCACTATCCTAACTGATAGTAAGTGATGATGCAACCAAAGATGGTAAAGCTCACTGACTTAGCTTAACAAAAGCCTATTCTCTATAATGCTGGAAGTACACATGCAACTAAAGCCATATTGTTGGTTGCAAATGATTTTAGATGCCTGTGTACGTGTGTGTGTGCTTACAATAATTTTAGCTAGGTGTTTGTGTTACTTGAAATGTACACAGCATTCAGGCTTTTTTTATTTGTTGACCATAGTTCACAATACAAGACAAACAAAGAACATTGGTCAAATACGACCTGATCAAAATATGAAATGACCACCAATGACTGATACGTCATAAAATAGTGACTTAGGTGTATATCGACGGCTCCGTGGCGCAGTGGCTTAGCAATCAGTTGTTGCGCTGGGGGCCGCGGGTTCGAATCCCGCACGGAACAAGTATTTGTATGGCCTACAAATAATTGTTCCGGGTCCGGATGTTTGTTCTTGTGCAATTTATGTTTGTAAACTGCCTCCACGACACAGGAGAAAATCCTAGTGTGGGGGTAACGTTTTTTTAAAAAAAAAATTAAATTAAGGGGTCCAGCTTATTATTGGAGCCGGTAAAATAATTTAGCTTTGTAATAAAACCTCATTTCCTTACTACTTTTTATAGGTTTGAACACACCTAAACACGTCCCGTTTTTATCTGTGGTACACATTTCATCATAACACTAAAGTAACACTACCATTATGCATTTACTTTTTTTAAATTCTTTATTGTAGATTTTTTATTTATTATTGTAGTGTATTATCAATAACATAATTTTTAGATAACTTTTAAGCTGTCTTCAAAATCCAAAAAACTTAGCATGTGACGCATCAACATATTGTACTTAAATAATTTTATAAAATAAGCCACTTCCAGTTAGACTATATAGGTCGAGATACCTTTGCCATTAGTAATAAAAAAAAAACACAAAATATCAAAGGTGTCATATATATAACAGAGAAAACATTAAAAAGGCTATTGATTCATTTTTGTGTTTTTAGCCATTGATTTATATAGATAGTTAAGTATACATTACTGCATAGCTTTCATATCTATGGTTTTAGCTGAGGTTGTAGTCATGCAGACTTATTACATCATAAACTCAAAAGTGACGATATACATAAGGGTAACATTCTATGATCCTCGGCTTCAAAATAATATATTTTTAATTTACAATTGAGATTGAGTTGATTGATTGATTTTTATAGCTAGGTCACAGCATGTATGGGCCGTGACCGATGTTCTTTGTGTTAGTCGGGATAATTTTTCGTGTCGCTCCTTTTGTATTTCCCTTTCAAATGAATCAAATAAAAAAAAGTATTTTTTTATTTAGAATAAGGGGACAAACGCGCATACAGTCCACCTGATGATAAGTTCATGCTGTATTCAATAAAAATCTACATCGATCCTCGATTAATAATCAAAATGCAGATACATTGTCACCCCTGAGGACTAAGATCTAATGCCTCGTTTTCAATCACAATAGCTCTCTCATTCACCATACAAAACACAGCAGCTTTAAACTGCTATTTCACACTAGTATTCTATAATAATATAGCTGCAGCATGCTTTACTATGTAAAAATAGAGTATTATCATACAGCAGTTTTGTTACTTGCCTTTATAATTAATATGAATGTCAGTAAAAATACAAATAAGGTGCTCAATTTGTGATATTGTTCAATCCATAAAGTAACCGTAAGCCTATTTATATAAACTAACAAAAATAAAACTAAATTGATCCTTACCACATCCATCTTGCCGATGTCAAAGCCAAGCTCTCTGATAGGAATTTCATACATATAGGTGAGGATGTCGCCTAGTGGACGCAGTTTCTGAGGCGTGAGCTGTTTAAGACCCGCATGAAGGAGACGCTTTGCGGCTTTATGGTATACTGTGCCTGGCTTGTTGTACTTCATAGCATTGTTACACATAAGCTTGAAGTCACTCTGTAGAAAATGAACATAACATTGATGTATCATGTCGTTAAATATATACACAATATTGCGTTTAACAAAATTCATCATCATCATCATCATTCAAGCCCTTTACAAGTCCACTGTTGAAATAGGCACCCCCAAGGAATGCTACAAAGCACCTGAACCACAAGCATCATTCAACTTCCTGTATATCTTACCAGGTCGTCACTATATAGTGGATATATACCCTCCACTTCGCCAACAAGTCCGAGAATGTTTTTTCACCATCGGTTTTAGAATCTTCATGCTATATGGCTGGCCAATTGCTACTTCAGCTTATTGATCCATTGGGCTATATCAATTACACTCTGGTTCTACTGCAGATATCCTCATTTTTAAGTCTATCATGCAGGGAAACTGCAAGCTCTCACCATAGCTTGCAGAGCGACCTTGAGCTTCCTCTGACGGTCAGCAGTGAATGATCATTATTTGAATAACACTTTATGCAAACAAATAGAGTAAATGTAGCATACGCTGAACCTAATGTTTACTATAAGTCTGATTCATTTTTAGTCCCACATCTGTATTTGTATTTTAAGGCTAAAGTCATTTTCGCTCGTTTGTTACGCAGATGTTCACAAAGTATCATCATCATTGAGAAGTTGCGATTTAATTAACAGTTTTTGGTTTCCAATGTATGTACATACACAAAACAATGCCTCAATGCCATATTCATTAAAAAAATTACACATTTTTGAAATTTTTAGGGTTCCGTACCTCAAAAGGAAAAAACGGAACCCTTATAGGATCACTTTGTTGTCTGTCTGTCTGTCTGTCTGTCTGTCTGTCTATCAAGACCCTTTTTCTCAGGAACGCGTGTCAAGCTGAAATTCATATCAAATACTCAAGTCTACTGTCCCTTGGAGCTGTGAAAAAATCAAACTTCTAAGCCAACGCAATCAAAAGATACAGCCGTTTATGCCGTAAATTTTCGAGATTCACAAGGGAATAAAAACCTACAGGGTTCAGGTACTTCCCGTGAACTCAGAATCTTAAAATTTGGTACGAAGTAACGCATTATAGCACAGATAAAGGAAAAATTGCGAAAAGCATAAATTTTTAGTTACATCATATAATATTTTTAATAATTTTAAACTTATATACCTACGGATTTGTTCGGAACCCTCGGTGCGCGAGTCCGACTCGCACTTGGCCGGTTTTTTTTTAAAATTCTTTAACTGTTTGTAATGTTTGTAGTTTGGTTTATCCATTTCTAATTGAATGAATATAACAGAATAGAATAGAATTATTTTTATTCAATATTGATTACTACATAATACTTATTGAAAGTCATTTTTTATTTACCATACACAACACAAATAATATTTCATAGAAGAACATTACTCCCTAAACTTTTCTGATAAATTAACTTTCCTAACTAATCTATCATTCAATTTCAATGAATGTATGTATATAATTTCTATTTAAACAATATAATCATTCCAAATATAAAACAAACAAATTCTTTTGCGGCAGCAATGCACGGCGCATTACCAGCTAGTAAAATATAAATAGAAAATCAACTTACTATAAAACAGTTAAGTGACTTGTACTCATTGTCATCAATCTTTTGCTTAATTGTGGAAAAATCCATCGGACGTTTTATGATATTAGAGTAGCCTGGTGCAAAGTTGTCGTTTACAGGCCATGCAAAGAACTGATGCGGGTCACGTTTCTCCAGGTTTCTTAGCAGTTGCTCTAGTAGGCGAGACAGGGGACGGCGCTTCTGACTAGCCTGCAATAATCAATGTACAGACAACATTATTAATTTTAATAACCATCATAATTTTAATTGTATTTAAATAGTTAAAAAAAAATATTCTTATCATTAAACTATTAAGTTTTGTTATAATGTAAAAACATTCATCAAGGATTCATCTTCAACATTACAGCCCACCGCAAGTCTACTAACTCACTCCATCAGCTTCCATGCTATCCCTACTGCTATATTTGATTGAACTGGACATCGGTCAATAGATTGAGTCGACCCATGAGCATCTTATAAACTAATACATAATTATAACTCAGGAGAGGTCTTTGGTGAATTTTGGTACATCCTCATCATCATCATCATCATTACAGCCCTTCACAAGTCCACTGCTGAACATAGGCCTCCCCCAAAGAATGCCACAAAGCACGGTCCTGAGCCACCTGCATCCATCGACTTCCTGCAAATCTTACCAGGTCGTCACTCCATCTAGTGGGGGGACGCCCTACACTTCGCCTGCCGGTACGAGGCTGCCACTCGAGAACCTTTCTTCCCCATCGGTTGTCGGTTCTTCGAGCCATATGGCCGGCCCATTGCCACTTCAGCTTACTAATCCGTTGGGCTATGTCGGTCACTCTGGTTCTACTGCGGATATCCTCATTTCTGAGTTTATCACGCAGAGAAACTCCGAGCATAGCCCTCTCCATAGCTCGCTGAGCGACCTTGAGCTTCCTCATCCGGCCAGCAGTGAAGGACCACGTCTCAGTTCCGTATGTCATCACTGGCAACACGCACTGGGTGTACAGTCTCGTTTTCAAGTTTTGAGGTATACCTGACGAGAAGATGTGCCGTAATTTCCCGAACGCTGCCCAACCGAGTTGAATCCGTCGATTGACCTCTCGGTCGAAGTTGGACTTACCTAGTCGGACTATTTGTCCCAGGTAAACATACTCGTCAACAACTTCGAGCTTAGTGTTCCCAACAACTACCGGCATAGGTGTGACATGGACATTAAACATGATCTTTGTTTTGTCCATGTTCATCTTAAGACCTATCCGTTGGGAAACACTATTGAGGTCATTGAGCATAGTGCTTAGGTCCTCCAGCGATTCTGCCATAAGGACTATATCGTCGGCAAATCGAAGGTGAGTGATGTACTCGCCATTGATGTTGATACCGTATCCTTTCCAGTCCAGAAGCTTGAAAACGTCTTCCAATGCAGCGGTGAAGAGTTTCGGGGATATGACGTCACCCTGTCTTACACCTCTCTGCAATTGGATAGGTTTCGTACTCTGGTTCTGTACTCGGATAGCCATCGTAGCCCTACTGTACAAGCACTTCAACACTTCGATATACCGACAGTCAACTTGGCATCGCTGAAGGGACTGCAGCACCGCCCAAATTTCGACGGAATCAAAGGCTTTCTCATAGTCCACATACGCCAGACATAGTGGCAAATTGTACTCCTCGGACTTCTGTACAATTTGCCGAAGGGTATGTATGTGGTCTATGGTGCTAAAGCCTTTTCGGAAACCGGCTTGTTCGGGAGGCTGGAAGTCGTCAAGTCTGCGCGCGAGACGATTCGTAATGACTCTCGAAAACAGCACGTAGACGCGGCTCAGAAGGGAAATCGGTCTGTAGTTCTTCAAGAGAGCGTTGTCGCCTTTCTTGAAGAACAAGACCACCGCACTTCTGCTCCACGCCTCCGGTGTAATGCCACCATGGAGGACGGAATTAAAGAGCTTCTGAAGGACTTCAAGTACCGGTTTTCCACCCGCTTTCAGAAGCTCCGCTGTAATTCCATCCTGGCCTGGGGCCTTGCCGTTTTTAAGGTGCTGGAGAGCCATTCTAATCTCGCTCAGACTGACGTCCGGGATATCATCGGAATAATGTCGGATAAGACTCGCTCTTGGATCGTTACTCACACTTGCGTGTGGCTCCAACGATGACGTGTACAGCTGCCCATAGAACCTCTCAATCTCACTCAAAATCTCAGGTGCCCCGGAAACGATGCTGCCACATTCGGTCTTCAGCTTTGACAGTTGGCTCTTTCTGGCAGACAGATCTCTGGCAAAGACTTTGGAGCCTTGGTTCCGCTCGATCGCTTCTTCAACACGAGCTGTATTGAAGTTGCGTAAGTCCCGCCGCATGCATTTGGAGATCTGTCTGTTCAGTTGCCTGTATGCTGTCAAATCTGTTGAAGAATGTAGCTTCATCTCCCGTCTAACAGCCATGAGATTAAGAGTGTGATCGGAGAGTTTTTGTGTTCTTCTGCGGCGGGTCTTGCAGAACTTAGCTCCGACCGCATGGACAGTTTCCACGAGCTTGTCATTCAAATCGTCCACTTCATTGCAGTCTTCTAGGCACTGAAAACGGTTTTGCAACTCGAGCTGAAAGGTTTCGGGACTTTGGATTAGAGCACGAGGGGGACGGAGCGTTGACTTCATTAGACGAGACCTCTCCAACTTAACGTTTAGGTTCAGTGTGCCTCTAACCATTCGGTGATCGCTGCCGGTTTTCACCCTCGCGATCACTGAGACATCACTGAACAGTTGTCGTCTGGTCGTCATAATGAAGTCAATCTCATTTTTTGTCGAACCGTCGGGGCTCGACCAGGTCCACTTCCTGTGGGGCCGCTTCTGGAAGAAAGAGTTCATCATAAAGAGTCCCTCTTTCTCCATGAAGTCGGCCAACTGCTGGCCCCTTGGGTTCCGTTGCCCTATTCCAAATTTCCCCACTTTCAGCTCACCGTTCTCTCTTGTGCCTAGTTTTGCATTGAAGTCTCCCATTAACACCGTATATTGGGTTTTGGAGGAATGCATGGCTCTAGAGATATCCTCATACATTTCCTCCACCTCCTGATCGGGGTGTGCCGAGGTTGGTGCGTAAACCTGTATGACCTTCAGCGAATACCGTTTGGTGATTCTGAGTATAAGGTACGCAACCCTCGTCGACACACTCTCAATCTTTACAACGTTGTTAACGAGAGACTTGTGGACGATAAATCCAACACCTCCTTGGGACAGATGGTCGCCCTCCCGGTGATAGAGCAAGTTGCCGGATTCGAGGATTACCGTGTCCTCCCCCTCTCTTCGGACTTCGGATAATCCTATAATATGCCAGCGTAACTTGTCCATCTCTTCTTCCAGCTCCACAATCTTCTCGTCAGTCCTCAGGGTGCGTGCGTTGTATGTTGCCAGGTCGAGTCGTTGTAGGTGGCAACCGAACCTCCACCGGAGATTCTTAGCACCCCCTGCCCCGCCGTTACCATGGTCGCCACCGTAGCCAGGAATAGCGGGGCCGCCGGGGACTGGGGGCCGTCTCTTCGTAACTTTCATTTTTCATGGTACATCCTACTTTCACACAATATATTTATTTTTCATATAAGTACTGTTTACTTCAAACTATTGGTCTTATGATCTCTGAAATTGGTGATATATTAAATATAACCCAAATGAATAGTTCCCTTAATCAGGATTGTGTCAATTAGAAGTCTCTGCCTGCCTAACCCTCTCAATCACGGGTGTGAGAATGAATGAATGAATTAATTTAAACTTCTATGCACAAGAAACTTCGTACATATGGTGGAATTAATGCCTTAAGATATCATCTCCCAGTCGACCATTAGGCTAAGCAGTGATAAACGTATGGGAGGGAGTGCAGCAACAAATAAACAAATAATTAAAAAAAAAAGGTTTACATAGTATTGATAAACCAGAATATATATATATATATATATATATATATATATATATAGAAGATATTCTATACATATATCATATAAATGTATTTATATAAAATATAAATATATTATATTTAGTATACAGAAGTAACAAATACATAAATATACTTAATGCATATAAAATATATTTATAATAACATATATACATAATATCCTATTTACATAATATTATGATAGATAATCTATACTAATATTATAAAGCTGCAGTGTTTGTTTGTTTGTTTGTTTGTTTAAACGCGCTAATCTCTGGAACTACTGGTCCGATTTGAATGATTCTTTCAGTGTTGGGTAGTCCATTTATCGAGGAAGGCTATAGGCTATGTTTTCTTTTTTCAAAATTAGGGATCCGTAATAAAATTGCTATTTTGTAACACAAGGTGTAAAATCGAAAACCTATTTTGGCGTGCGCTGCAAAAACTATTGACAATAAAACAAAATGATGTGCTACGGGTTTGTAGATCCCATTAAGACCTACAAAAAAGTCCGCGAGAACATGTATCTAGCTATCATGGTTTAATCACAATAACCGATTTTGTGTTCAAATTAATTATTAAATCGTCTGAAGAAAAAAAAACTACGTGAAATATGTATCGTAATATTAATCTTTATCGAAATTAAGCATTATTTATCAAGAGTATTTATGTAGAAGTAAAATACTTTTTGTTTCATCTCAATCGGATATTTCGTTTAAAAGTTATCACGTGTGTAAGATGTTAAGAGTTGGTACCTATTAATGAGTTATGGACCATAGAGTTTTTTATTAACATAAAAATCCTGTAATAATCTTTTTCGAAATATAGTAAGTAAGATCTTTGAAGAGTATAATAAATACATTTCTAAAATAACTCTGCTAAGGAAATCCACGCGCGCTTGATGCAAGCAAGACGACGGCGGCGCGGCGGCGGGCGAGACGAGGAGGCCGCGCTTGCTGGCCGCCTGTCGCTCCCCCCCCCCCCCCCCGCCGCGCCGCCCGCGTGTTTTGGTTTACAAGGTACCATGCCGCGCGGCTCAGACGCGTGGTCGGCTCCCTACGGAACGGTTGAATGCAGCGTTGCGTTTTTTGAAGTCATTTACGATCGTTCCTTTGACATATATTTCATGCGACTTTTAATAATTACTCACCTTACGTTTCTTTTACCTGATTACTACGTTTCAGTTTATTTTAATTAAGTTTTAATTTTATACGGTTTTTCTTTTATCTCTTTACTATTATGCCTAGAAAAAGAACTCAGCTTTCTAGGCAGACTGCTACTGCAAAACGATTGCGACTTCTACGCAGCAATGA